TAGTTTCATTCCTGACTCAAGTGTTATGTAAGCTACAAACTCCATAAGCACTGATGGCTGTACTGCTGCAGTTTTTGAAGTTGTTTTTATTTTTGACAATGCTGATAATTACATATAAGCATCAGAATGATTCATTATCATATGTTAAGTCTATCTACTGCATTCCAGGTGGTAAGAGACTTCAAAAAATATGCTGCTACGGTCCACTGTGTTGTGTTTTTAGATGTAAAATGTCAGGTGGTTTGACAAGTTAAGGAACTAAATTCCCTGTTGAAAGCAATTTCATGTGATGTCATCAAACTAAGTGTGGCCAAACTGAAGAATGAGGAACTTACCCAAATAGTCTTCTTCTAATCACTGCAAATCATGTAGTCAACATGGTAAATGAAGCAGTAGTTCAGATCGTTCTCATCAAAAAGATTTTTCTCTTTTTTATTTTAGACTGCCAAATATTCTTTCCTTGCATTAATCTTTCATCCTTCCCAGGGAAACAAAGGGGCTGTTGCGATCCGTTTTCGCTTCCACAACTCTGACATCTGCGTAGTCAACTCTCACCTGGCTGCGCACGTCGAAGAGTACGAAAGACGTAATCAGGACTTCAAGGACATTTGCAGTCGTCTCCAGTTTCGGCAGCTCGATCCTACGCAGCCTCCACTCACCATCTTGAAGCACAAGTGTGTACTTTCTCAATGACTCTACATTGTTGCGCTGTAATTAGAATGTTGGTGCATCAAACAGGTTTATCATTATGAATATGGAATGATAGTTTTATGCGCGAACACGTCTTTGTTATAAATACGTCTGTGCTTCTTGGACCAGTGTTGTTTTGTGGATCGGGGACCTCAACTACAGAATCAGCGATCTGGACGTCGACAGGGTGAAGGATCTAATCGCCAAGAATGATTATGAGACTCTTCACTCTTATGATCAGGTAATTACTGTCAATCTATTACCTTAATGTTCCTGACTTATCACTTGTGTTTATGAGTGGAGATATTCATTTGCTTCATGCGACCCTCAGCTCAAGAGGCAGATCGATGTGGAAGCGGTGTTTGTCGGCTTTAAGGAAGGAGAAATTGATTTCCAGCCCACCTACAAATATGACACCGGCTCTGACAAATGGGATACGAGGTATTTCTGACTGCAGCTTTTTTTTTTTCTTTATGAATCTATATTTTCAATAGTTTAGTGTTTGTAGTAAAAGATTGAAGACTTGCAGAGAGATTAGTTGAACACAAACTATTCAATTTATCCTGGAAACATGTCTCACCTACATTTCATTCGATTCTTTGAATTTTTTTTAGTCTTTAGAGGCTTCTTACATCATCCTAGTTTATGCAGGATCTGCATGTGGTTTTGAGTGTTCACAAAAAGAGATCCACTTGTTGATCCATTGTTTATTCAGCCTTATTGTTTCATCAGAAAACCGGTAAAGTACAATTAGCTCTGATGTCTTTGTTATATTCATTTGACCTCCCAGATTACAGTGTTTATAAACAGTGTCTATAAAATGTGCCTTGACCACAAGGCATCACTAAGTAACACTAACATTTCAGTGCTTATTTAACAATAATAAATTGTGAAATGAAATTCCCGATTACTGTGTTTTACCACAGATAGACCACTTTGCAAATATTGTCCATTTTATTCCTCTGGTTTCAGTGAAAAATGCCGCATCCCTGCATGGTGTGACCGTATCTTATGGAAAGGGAAGAACATTCAGCAGGAGCATTACAAGAGCCATATGGATGTAAGGACCAGTGACCACAAACCTGTCAGCTCTTTGCTCGTCATCGGGGTAAATGCTTCAGTCTTCTACCAAATTTCATGTTTAATTCATTGTCTTTGGTTTGGACAAGATGCATTAACCTCAATATTTGAGAAGCATGTTAGACATGTAAAATTACTTCAAGATGTTGCCTTGTCCTTCAGACTCTTGTGTTTGAATTCAGTTTCTTTCTTAAGATGAGAAATAGATATATTAAAAAAAGACATGACTCGGTTGAAAAGTGCCAAAGAGAGTTAAGGTTAAGAGGCAGCAGTTCATAAATCCTGTGATGCACAAATGCAGTTATTGCAATTGCATTTTAGAGAGAGTCATGTAATAAAAATTTCAAAAGTACTGACCTGCTTGGATTGCTTATCATTCTCTTTAATCTTTATTTATTTATTTCTAATTACTAAGGCTGCCCTTTAATGCTACTATCCCACATATTTAATTTTTTTAACCTCTGCTCTTACTCCCTTCCCTCTTCATCAGATCAAGAGAGTAAATCCTGACGCTTATAAGAAGACCTTTGAAGAGATTGTGCGCAATATCGACAAAATGGAGAATGAATGTATTCCATCTTTAAGCTTGTCCAAGCGAGAGGTAAAATGTCCTATCCTGTAATTTGTAGCTCAATAGAAATCGGTTTATTTGTATACATTTTCAGAGTTAAATGGGCCGTTTGTCTTGACACGCGTCATGTAAACGGCGTGGAATGATGTCATATTTTGACTCTGAATTTGTTTTCCTTCAGTTCCACTTCAAGGATGTGAAGTTCATGCAACACCACGCCGAGACCCTGAACCTTTTCAATGACGGGCAGGTCCCATGTCAGTTTGAATTCATCCAGAAGCCGAATGAATCCACGTACTCCAAGCCCTGGCTCACAGCCAACCCATCCAAAGGCTTCATTGCACAAGGTGAGAATCCTGAACACTGAAACCTAACTTGGAACCTCAAACGTTGCATCATGGCTGCTGCCACAAATCTCCTAGTGTTGTATGTCCATCTCTAATTTTCTAGGCGCTTCTATGGACGTTGACCTGGAGGTCTTTGTGAACCGCTCAATGGCACCAGATCTAAACTGCGGCAAGCAGGAGATCGAAGATATTCTGGTACTTCATTTGGAGCGAGGCAAGGACTACTTCATCTCCGTAACAGGGAACTATTTGCCAAGCTGCTACGGTACTTCTATCTATTCACTGTGTCACATGAAAGAACCCATTCAAGACATGCCGAAAGAGACCCTTCTTGAGCTGGTCAGCAACTTTTGAAATATCTTCTTTCATTTCTTGTCATCTCTTTTTTAAAGTTTCGAACAGACGTGTCTTTTTCTTTTGAACATCAGGCGGAAAAGTCTCTAAACGATGATGCAGCAACCGATGAAAAGCCTCTTGACATTCCTAAAGAGCTCTGGATGATGGTGGATCACTTATTTCGCAATGCTGTCAATCAGGTGAGAAAAGATTTGGGTTTACAAAAGTTTGCTGTTAGATTCGCCATCTGTGTATCCAAGCTGCAGAAATCTGCAAAGGTAAGGACTCGGAATAAAGTGCATGCTTTCAGCATTGCTCCTGAGTTGCAAAATATAAAAGGTTTTTGCACATTTAAAATTTCCTATCATAAAAAAAGATTTTCTTAGTTTTTTGCATTAAAGTTGTAAAAAATATATTCATTGGGTAAAAAATAAGGCGCTTGTAAAGGGATGATTTCCCATTGACCCATATTGGAGTGGATTTTACTTGTTTTTGGTTTTATTATTCTTGTTTATTAGTGGATTTAGTTTGAAATCATTTCATTGGATAACAGTGCACATCTTAAAATATATATGTATTGTTTAGAATATGTTCTAAAGTTAAATGGCCTTCTTTAGATTAAGATAAAGGTTTAAGTTTTAGATTTCTCCTGAGGCTACATAGAGGCTAATATGATTAAGTAATTATGCTCTGCAGCTTGTAGGAAGTCGGAGTAGATTTAAGTAAGGAGTTTCATCTACATTTCATTTTTAAGCCTTCATTCAGAAACTTTTTTTTTTATTTAGGTCAGGCACAATAAATCATTTATGTATGTGCTCCTAAGGGAAACCAAATGTGAGCTTTCTATTTACAGGAAGACATATTTCAGCAACCTGGACTTCGGACTGAATTTGCTGAAATAAGAGATTGTCTTGATTCAGGGATGCCGGATTCTCTTCGTATCCTTTCAAAAAAATAAAAAATAAATAAAAGATTGATTGGTTAAAAAAAAGTGAAACACTGAAACATTTGAAAAAGCTTTGTTATGGTCTTTGCATATTTTTGTTGCTGTTGCTAAAGACTTAAAAATGTAAATACTCCATATCTGTGTTGAATTTAAATTACATTTATTCCAGAGTGAAATAAAACTCTTTAAAACTACTGCATGAAGCTGTCACCACATTGTCTTTGTTTTTTGTTTTTGAAATTGGAGTTACCCTGCACCACAGAGTTGTTGCTGTGTTACAAAAGTACTGAAGTCTTTGGTATATTTCACACAAGAAATGTTTCCTTGACTTTAACAACCTGCAGCGGGTAGCAACCATTCAGTGGCAGAAGCCCTTCTTCTCTTCCTGGATGCCCTCCCAGAGCCTGTGATTCCCTTTTCTTTTTATCAGCAGTGCCTTGAATGCAGCTCCAGTGCAGGCCAGTGTGAGAAAGTAAGGAAAAACATCACAGCAATCTTTTTTTTTCTGATGTTGGGGAATAAAAACCTAAATGTTCTGTTGACACCAACTTTCCTGTCCTCGTGTTCAGATTATTTCCATGCTACCTCCGTTCCATAAGAATGTGTTCAACTATTTAGCAGCCTTTCTCCGTGAGCTCTTAAAGAATTCTGCAAACAATCGATTAGAAGTTGACATTTTGGGTGAGGAAATTAATACATTTGTTCTTTTTTACGTTCAACAGGAATCATTCTTATGTGCGCTATAAATAATGAATTCTCTTTGTTCACAGCCACTATTTTTGCCTCCTTGCTCCTGAGATCGGCTAAGAAGCAGGATCTTGCAGAAAAGAAGAAAACACAGGAGTTCTTTCAGCATTTCCTAACCCAACATTCCTCTTAGGCACAACACGTCTATTTTGCTGAAGTGGAACACTAAAAACAGTACAGTATTTGAAACAAACTGTAGGAATTTGTTTTGCCACATTTATGTACAGCAAAGTAGTGTATTTACGTTAAAGAAATTATGATTGTAATTTGAGTATGTTTTGTGATCCAATTATCACTGATTATTGTAGATCTGTAGAAGCCTAAAAGTTTTAAATGTATATTTTATTTAAAGAAAAACTTGTATTTTAATGTCTTTGTATATAAAACTGTTTAAAAATGTGTGGTCTGCTTTTATTTTTCACTTTACATTGCATTTTATTTATGCTCTTAGAAAATAAGTACATTATACACACAACTTAAAAAAAATAAATATTCATTTTCAGCTTTACATTATTGTTAATAAGCATGCCCCTCATTTTTAACAACATAGCAACCTAATTTTACAGCCATTGAAAAGAATTTAAAACACGCACAAACTACCCAAAAGCTGGGTACTTGATTGACAACACAGTGTGGCTATAAGCATTTGGCATACAAGGAAAAACACTGATTATGGTGTAGATGGTGAATGTACTTTTATAAAAATTGAAGTTAATAAATGGGAATATGCATAAATTGCAGAGTAATATACAGAATATAATTATCTATGGGTCAAATGAATAGTAGAAAAACATTTTATGAAAAAACCCACAAACTGTCTCTTCCGTCTTCACTGGAGTCGCTGCAACACAGACTGCTACAGGAGATGCCCACAGCCATCAGCATCTACACCTCACTGGAGAACATCGACTTACTTTTTATGTCCTACGATTAATGAAGTATTTTTGTGTATGACATGTAAAGATGATTTGATTCAATAAAATCTACACTGCAGAGGTTTGTTGCACTTACATAAAATAGCTTTTTTTTTTTTTTTTTTTTTTTTTTTTTTTTTTTTTTTTTTTTTTGCCAAATTGATAGTGAAAGCTAATTTCTGCTGGCATGTCCTGTGTGGGAAGGATATAACTTTTTATTTTGTCTTTGGAAATTATTTTATGATCGAGTTATATATGTAGTTTCCCATAATTCATCACAAATGGCTATGATCTGTGACGTTGTTTGGCATCCCCGTGTTGGGAGGAGATAGGAAGAAAGTGCTTGCCATCCTGATCTTATGGACAGGGCTCACGTTTTGAAAGGTAAATATGTATGTTGTTGTCATTTCCTTGTGCCAGCTAAACTTTGCCATTGGTATGTCGTCTTGTCGTTTTAACATAATTTAACCATTTATCTGCACAGCACGGTCGGTACGAGATGTCAACTGTCGACATTAGCGATGCTAGCTAATACTTTAGCTTAGCCGTGAGCTAAAGAGTTGCTGCCTAGCACATCTATGTCTAATGTGAAATATGTAGTTGACACAGCTTGCGCAATGCTAACATACTAGCATCTATTAAATGAATTTTAACTCGCTATTTATCGAGAAAATTAGAATCTTGTTTGTTTTTAATGAAGTTATTAAACGTGGAAAAGGCACGAATGCGCTAAATTGGGTGATAAAACGGAGGAACATAGTAAATAAATTGAGATATCAGGTTTGTCTTAGCTACTTATAGAGTTTGCTAACTAACGGTGTTTCTGGCTAACGACCTTAGTTCTGACATTTGGAGAAAACAAGGTAATTGCATTGTCAAACTTTTGAACAGTTGTGGCTGCTGATGAGATTTCCAAATGTTTATGTTTAGCTAACATTTTAGTCGTTTGCTTGCGAAAATAGTTGATTCTGGATGTCATGAGAAATGGACATAGACACGAAGTTTCAAAGTAATTGCATTTTGGGGATTGTAATGAGGTTTAGTACGCTGTAAATCATTTATAGTTGTGTCCAATGCCTGTTTGAATTGTTACCCAACTGGCTCTAGAAAGTTCTAGACTTTGACACGTTTCTGTAAGATCAACTAAACTCACTCTAGAGATCCTGTGGTTGAAAAAATGCATTTGCCTCCTTACAGATTTGTCCTGTTTCTCCAAAGTTTCATTTCTTAAAGGAAATTGTATTATTACACAACAATATCAAGAGAGTGCACAAAGCTTCGGGTATCACAGCTAGAAACTACAGATCAGCTCCAAATTTAGGTGTTGTGATGGACTCAGACCTGAACTTTGATTGATCCATATACAAAGTCAACCTCAAATGGAGAAAACTTCTAGGATTAAAAGACTAATGCCCCAATAAGATCTTGAGAAACTCATGCATGTTTTTATCTTTAGTAATTTGATTACAGCTACAGTGTCTTCACAGGACTGCCTAAAAAATCAGACAAGCTGCAGCTGATCCACAGTACTGCTGCTCACGCTCTCACTAACACTAGGAGTACGGAGAACATCAACAAGTTTTACACTCGGTGTCTAAACTTGTTGACATTGAGTCTAAAACTCAATGTAGCTTAGAGAAAATATTTCAAAATTCTATAGTTTGTTTATAAACTATTGAATAAAACAGAACCAGACACGGAAAAGCAGGATTCAGTTTTTATGCTCCAGTAACCTGGAACAAACTTCTAGAAAGCTGAAAAAAAAAAAAAAAATGCCAGAACTCCAAGTTCCTTTAATCAAGTCTAAAAGCTCATTTGTTTAGAGTTGCATTTTGGCTGTTTTGTTCATGCTACTAACTGAAATGCCATTCATTTATGATCTGTGGCTAAAAAGTTGGGCTGCAACATTTTAGCTGTGCATAGTCCACTATGCGTGGTGGTATAATTGCAATTATTGAAAGAATGAATTCTACTTTTCAGCAGAAATCTAGATGGAGAATCTCTATCCATCACATTCTGTCCTTAAGCTCCAGCATTTTTTTTTTTTTTTTTTGTGATGCTGTTGAACAACAATCCGAGGCACAGCAGCAAGTTAACTTCTGGATGGCTCAAAAAATAATAAATATAAATAAGAATGACAGTAAAAATAATATTTTGGAGAAGTGTGTCAAGAATCTTGACGAAATTGATCTAAACTGCTGTGGCATGATATTATTTTTGGCTAAACATGTTTTAAAAATCGTCCCATGTGGCCTAATTAAGAAATTCTGTAGGGAAGAGTGTGCCAAAATTTACAATTTCTAATATATTGCCAGTTATTGCAAACACTTAAAAACAGACAATTAGTAGGTTAATGGGAGATATATTTTTGCCCTTTATAGTAGGGCATAAACAGGGCTATTTTTGCCCTATTTTTGCCCTAAAAATGCTATTTTTCCCCATCTAAACTGCTGTGGCAAATGTCTAAATCAGACATATAGCAAATGTCTGATTTAGACGTTTGCTATATAATCCAAAACATTTGACTACAAACTAAAGCAGAAAAAAAATCTACAAGGACACAAACTTTTTCACAGCCCAGTGTTTCCACCAGTGAGCTGCTGCCTGCGGCTACTTGAATTGCAATTATTTTATCGGCTCCTCTGTCTCCTCCAAAACAGCTTTTATATTTACTGTTTCAGGTTTCAAGTATTTCCAATGGTAAAGATGAAAATGTATTTTTGTTTCAAGGCCAAATGTTCTCTGTCACTGTTTTTAGTAATGAAAATGTCAGGTTTTAATGATTCTGGTGTTATTTCAAGTTCTGTTAATGCTCTTTTGGATTTTTTATTTTTTTTTTCATAAAGTTAAATTTTTTTCATATCAATTTCGAATATGTTGATTTTTTTTTTCCATGTTTCTTTGCCAGATTTTGATCAAATTCCTCCTTCAATAGGATTTAATTGTATTTTGTACAAATGGTGCAAAATATTATAACAATATTTCAGAACAGGACTACAGGAAGGACAGAACACTAGATAGCATCCTTAAAGTTGCCTTAGTGCATCCTCTTTCTTAGACAGAACACATATTGTGGGGCTTTGTTCAGTAAGATGACAACAGTGCTTTCTGTGAACTTGGATGTGAAAAATGCTTCATCTGTTCAGGTTGAGACTTTACCTTGGCAGGCTGACTTGGCAAGAATTGTTTCTGCAAATCTGGATGTGATGAACAGATTTCGCATCAAAGGATGTTCTCAGTACCAGAATTATCTTCCTGAAACATGAGGTCCACCCTAATTTTTATTTATTTATTTTTAATGAGTTGAACTATGTTTTATTAGATATGGTTCAGATATTGTATGTTTAAAAACAAAAAATACAAAACTTAAGCAAGAGACAAAAATATTGTGTAATTTCTGCTCCTCATTTTAACTTGAGACCTATCAATTGTTGGGCTGCAAAATCCCAAAAAATATCTAGATCTCCAATGATTTTTTTTTTAATATATTGCCATTGAAATGGTTAGCAGCATTAAATAAATGATCAAACGCTTTTCCTGGACAGAATAAATATTATACTTGTAATTTTCTTTTAAAGGTTCTTTAACATGGAATGGAGAATGTTATGTGGTCAAATTAAAAGATTTTCAGCTTCCATTTGTATTCCAAACAAAATTTTACAGGAAAGTCACGAAACTCTATTATGTATTTGCAATTTTTAAAAGAAACCAAATCTTTTGTGGACTAACTTAAGCTTATGTTTATGTATCAACTTTCTTCATGTTTGCTCTATAGGCGACACTATCAATTAACAGATTATTTGGCTGATTTTAAATAGTTGTACTCATCTTTGTGCAAATCAAACACTGTTTGATAGTCATATCAGACACGAACAGTCATCTCTGACTATGTTGTTGTATGTGTTCTTGATATCATTACATTTTCATTGAAAATTCCTAAAATAGCACACATAGAGCATTTTCTAGACATTGGCACACAAGTAACATACTCTGTCAATGCCACCTGCAGACTTGAAGTTAAGTTATTTCTTTTCCTTAAAGTAACTTACCATCTAATCAAGACCAAGACCAAATGTAATTATCTCTCATTTTTCAGGTAACGCATTCAACCAGTGTACGGTCCTTCTTGCAAAGGAAGGTAAGGCGACAGGGACCATGAGCGAGAATGGCCCTCGAACAGAGGCGCCAATGTACTTCGAGGTGGAGGTGGACCAGCTGGAGCGGGAAGACGAAGAAGAGGACGACAAGATCCACTATGACAAAGACGACGACCTGATTGCTGAGCCGTCATCCTCATCTGGGCGCGTCTACGACCGCACCACCGTGCTCATCGAGCGAGACCCCATCCGCCTCGACGAGGAAGGCGAAGAGGAGGGGCACTGTGGAGGCGATGAAGACGGAGTCACCTTTTTAACTGAAGGGGAGGGCGATGCGGACGAGGAGGAGGGATCTCTGGCCTTCATGGCCGACCCCGACGGGATGT